TTCTTTTCGAAAGTATTGAACTTATCTTGCTTTCAGACTGAAGAAGTGAAAGGTTTTAATTAGCGTTTGGTTGTTAATAAAAATAGCAATACTATTTGCATTTAGCCGACACGACTCCCTTATGTTCCTCCTTCGTGATAGGGGATAGAATATTCCTGAGATAATGCACCCTGTACCGTTCTGCAGTGTAACTGGCAACAAGTAGGTTTGACCTGGCGACACCCCAGTAGAAGTGAAGTTTGCTACTACGAGACGTAGATTTCTAAAATTTTGATTGTCCTAAACACTATATTCGCTTCGTAAGAGAGTGTCGTGGTGGCTGTGGTTAACTTCCATCATTGGGGGGTTGCTTGTAAATAACTAAGTGTTGTTAATCAAAGCACAGCAGATGCTTAGTATGGCCTTGCCACCATGGATGAAGTTATATACAAACATATTACTTAAATTGGTGCCTGTTGAATTTTTTCCAATATAACGTTTATCGGCGCATTATTTTTATGTGTGTGTCATGCCAGGTAACTACGTAAGAAAGTCGTAATAATATAATAAAAATGATCATTTCTACAGCTTCTATAATTTTTTTGCTCCTGGTTATTTTGGGTGGCAAATCAAATCTATATTTCGTTTTAAATTTATTATTATGTTGAAGCTATTTTAGCCAGTGCACTTGAGCACTTTTACTCTTTCTTAACTCGAGGTATTTTTAAAACCCCTCTTTACGCCTTGACTGGATTATTGTATATCACTTCATCCGACTAAGCAATAATTGACTTCAGATCTGCATACCTCCCTGAGGAGCCTGTAACCATTCTGAGATTTGATAACGCGGTGTTGGTAAGTCCGACACTAATAATTTGTAATTTAAAGAAACGATACTGCATATATAAAATCCAAGTTACCTAAGAAATTTTTTAAACAAAAAGAAAAAATTTAAAAGATAATCAAACTTAAATTTTTTTTTTATAAATATTCCAAACTAACATTCTAACATTCTTTAGTTAGAATCTTTTAACGAAATTTTCTCCATATAATCATAAAACGCAAAATATATTTGAAATTGAGAAAATGAGTTCTCCACAAAACTCACAGGATCCGGACGCTGTTTTTGGAAATACCCCAGTTGGTAGGTTGTATTTGCGCCTTACAAGAAATGTACCCCTGGAAATGCGAATTCATGGAGTAACTAAGCCGTCACCCTTCACATGGAATGTCGATATTTTCCAAAAGCACAATGCGTCCATTATTTACCAAGCAACAATGTCTTTAAATGAAGAACAATTTAATATTCTTGCGGGCACTTACATTTATCGATCTGTACCTAGATTATTTTTTAATTCCTATGTCAAAAGGTCACGTCTGGAGTGGCATATTTTGATGACATTGGTACGTCGCTAATGTAGTAAATATTTCTATTACGTACTAAGGTAACTCCGTGTATTTAATTTTTTCACCGAATAATTATTAAAAATTGATTGCTCTACTTTTTATAGATATCGACTGGGGAATTTGGAAAATTTGGGGAAAATATGTTTGGATATATCTATTTACTATCTATTGAGGAAATCTACCTAAATCAATTTCTTTCAATGGAGCAAAATTGGTGTTTATTTTTCAATGTATTAAAGTGGTTTACTTATTTATAACTAAATAAGTTATTGACCTTTATTCAAAAATTTCTATTTATATAGAAATTTTTTTTTTGGAACAAATATGATCGTGAAACGTCTTTAACATCTTTTTAATAAAGAGTCAAAGCATGTTATGGAATGAAAATATTTCAGTTTTTTTTATTTCTTAACTTCTGTGTCGAGTTTTTTAAAAGGAATTCTCTTCGAGTACTAGCCATCAACTATATTTACTAAAATATAATTAAGGCACGCCTTATAATATAACTTAAGTTCTTTTCTTCATACATAATAAATTAATAACATTTTATTCCTAATTGTTTGTAAACGTACAACTTTCGCCAAAGACGTCACCAGTCAAAAGATTTTCTCTAATGAACTCTTCTTATAAGCTCTAAGTTAACTCTAATAGTAGGTTAAGTTCGATGAAGTTATGCCGACGATCCAAAGGGGATACATGTAGGCCTATTGGCCCATTGTGCTACCGTAAAATGGGAAATCTCGGGGCTTAAAACCATATAAAACCTTTGGAGTCCCTAAAACAGATAAGAGGTACTTTCTTCGTCTTTCCAACTATCCAACTGCGATAGATATAATTGAAGGGGAGATTCACTTTTTTAGCATGGTTATCTAATTTACAATAAGCTGTAAGTAAACCTAACGTAAAACTGATACTACTACGGTGCATTTCAATGAGAAAATTGGATTGCATTCCCATCTCTTATTAAAGAGTTTAGCACAGAAGAAATTCTGTAACAATTTGAATGATGTTAACGGTAACTCTAGAATGTTTAAGTGTTTTGAGTTGTTTTCTAAAACACACCTTCTGGGTAGTTCGTCTGATTTACAATTGTCAAAAATATCCTTATAACCGGGAACCCAGATTAAAGAAATTTTGAGCTGTGTTCACATCTCGTTCAGAGAAGTGTAGCAGTCAAAAACCGTCCTTGATGAAAATTGGACTGAACACAGACCCTAAAGCAGCTTAACTGTCTAATAGTATGTATATATTCCTATTAAATATCCACTTTTAGACGAGCTATAGCTTCCCTAATGACGATTACTCTAATAGTAAACATACTATATACTTCAGTGAATTTCTTAAAAATACAGTTAGGTTCTTCCAATATTTTTTGTTACGATTATTCAATATTGTTCAATATCGCTGTTATCTCCGTTTCATTTATACAGGTTTTTCAAAATATTTCGTTCTAAATTCTTTTGATTTTGAACACCTGTAATACTTTAGAAGTATCGAATATCTTCTATTTCTCCCTACGTTGCCCATAATTGAAATTACTCAGTTTTATGAGATCACATTTAGCGTTAATTATGCACGATAATTTAAAAAGCTTATAACCCATGTATTCTGTGTATAGTATATGAAAATATCCTGTAAGGTTTGTGTACCTGTAGACACAACAGGGATTCTCGAATTTTTTTCTAGATTGTGATTGGTACTCTGTTCCTTACAATGTTTCAACAGGTTTTCCTTTTGACTATACGAACTTCGCTAATCCAATTAATTTCGTATAATGCAAAACAGATTTCCCTAAATCTCTTTACGAAAATGATTTGGCAGTCATTGTTCACTATAAATAAAAACGAATTTAAAGAAATAATGTTGAATCAATGTATCTCAATTAAAGATTCAATATCTATTGAATCTATCTAAAGATATGCTTTTATAACTAATGTTGAAGTTGTGGCAGGAAGGGAAGAATACCCACTTTGATGAAACCCTTGTAATCCCAGACTTGATCACAACATGATTAAATTAATTTAATAGCTTCAACTTAGTTATTTACATTGAATTGGTCGCGCATAGCCATTTGTATGTTTGACACATGGTCCCTATTTACTAGAAGACATAATCGTAGATTTACTGCAAATTTCTAGTTTACCTCTAATTTTTTGCCTAACTCTACATTCTCTGCAGGAATAACAATATCTTATAGTGCATTAAAACTAGTGTGAGGAGTAGGCATTTTAAGCCATTCAGCGGTAATGAAGTCCTTAAAAAAATTCAACAGATTGTGCTTGGTAAAATCATTATCTTCATTGAGGTTTACGCATGAGGTAGGATGTTATGGATCTTACGCAAATCAATTGTTTTGAAGACTCTAGATATGATATTAGAGGTAGATTAATTTGTTCCAAATAATTGCAATAATAATTATATTTATATAATTATTATATATAATAATATATTATATAATTATATTATATATAATAAGGTATATAAAATACCTTGACAAAAAACTCTTTCTTCAAGCGGCATAATAGTGAGGAAGTTTTCAAATCCAATTTTCGATTAAGTTAATCCTTAAACTAATCACACACATTGCATCTACCACCAAATATCCAGCATGAATAGCTTCTTATACGATAGTTAGTGGCAACAGCTATTACCACTCCAAAGTCGCAACGAGTTAATTCTACAGACGCATAAAGGATAATCTTTGTAATGATAGAGAAAGTAAAAGCAAAGTCACAGAGTAAGCCTCGGGTCACATCCAGTATCAGCGTAGCAACAGTGTTTCTCAAACTGAAAACTACCGCAGCATAAATGCTTGATATCAGACAGGGGCAGTTGCAGAAGCAGTGGAATCTACTTGACGTATCTATGGATACTTCTATTTTCGTTAGAATCATTTAATATCGCTGTCACCTCATTTTTGGATAGGTAAAATAGGTTTTTCCAAAGTATGATCTTTTAAACTATTTTAATATTATGAACGCTTCAAATCGTTCAATCTTACTTTCCGTATTAAACAATCCATAAATCTCCTAGGAATGACTGAAGAAGATGTCCAACGCAGTATAGAAACTACATTCCAGTAATTAGAAGAGAGAGAGATCTGAGCGAGAGACTCAATATCTAGCGAATTAAATTTATATAAGCCAGGAAGCAAGAGTGTGGTGCAGGTAGATGAAGAGTAGGTGAAGGGGGCTGAGTTATTGCGTAAGTGCGAGGGTATGGACTAGTGGTCGACTCTGTGATCGGAGTCACTTATGCTATGGTTATAAAAGGGGATGATGAGGGCATTTGAAATGCGCTTATCAAAGTATAGCGTGAGGTGTACAATGGATTACAAGCAAGTAACTTGGACGAGGTCTGCAGGTAGGGTGCTAATGGTATAGACGTCAGAGATGGGTTATGCAACCAGGCAAGAAACTGTCGAGCGAGTGTCAACACGAGTTATTTTCACGGGTTTTTTACTATAGAAGTTAGATATTCTTAAGTGATTTAAGACTTAAAAAATTAATATTTAATTTGATTTAAATGTCAATATGACAGTAGTGACTATTTTTACTTTATTAGAATCTGAGATATTTAATAAAGAGGTTTCGAACAGTAGTGAACTACAACAACCTAAATTATTTTTATATTATTTTAATCAATTTAAATTTTGGTTGACTAGACATCTTAAAAATTGACTCTAACAAAAATTATATCTTCGATAGAACTTTTTCTGTAAATAAAGTTGTGTATTGAACAAGTGCCACTAAAAACACTTTAAATACTATCAGTTCATTATTCGTTCTTTATGAAAATTATTATATATAATATGGAGTACAATGTGTAATGTGTCATGTATTGATTAGCAATTTAAGCACTGAAAGCACTTAGCAATCAAATAATTTGAAATGATTGTCATTAAACCTGCTGTGAGGAACACAAACAGTCAATCAATGCAATCATAAATAAAAGTCCAAGTACTGATATGCTGATTCGTTGGCGCTTCTTAGTACAATTCATGGTTGTATAAAAGGACATAGTAGCTACACTGTGAGCAAAGTTGTACAGTGAGAGCCAAGTAGTGCACATCACAAACATCACAATGGAAGTGACCAAATCACTGGTGCAAGTGCTAACTTTTGGAGTTGTGCTTATGATATTGCAAATACAGCAACTGGGTCATGCACTGCGCTATTCGCAGGGTACTGGTGATGAAAATTGTGAAACGCTTAAGTCTGAAATACACCTTATAAAGGAGGAGTTCGATGAACTGGGACGTATGCAACGTACTTGCAACGCTGATGTGATGGTAAATAAGTGTGAAGGTCTATGCAATAGTCAGGTGCAGCCGTCGGTCATCACACCAACGGGGTTTCTGAAAGTAAGTACATATTGCAAAAAATCCAGTGAAATTATTCAAATCCCCAAATCCCCATCTTACAGGAGTGCTATTGCTGTCGCGAAAGCTTTCTAAAGGAAAAAATCGTTACACTTTCTCATTGCTATGATCCTGATGGCACTCGGCTTACCACTCCCGAAATGGCCACCATGGATATACGTCTGCGTGAGCCAACTGACTGCAAATGTTTCAAATGTGGTGACTTCACCAGATAAGTTTTTCTTTATCCAATGTATATGAAGTATTTGGATGTGTCCAAATTAAATAAATTGGAATAAAATATACTCGAAGCATTTTTTTTTTGTTTCTAATTTAAGTGGGTTTTATGTACCAAAAACGTCTAACATGCTCGTGCAGTGGTGGTGCCTAAGGCGATGGCGTAGGACTTCAAATGTGGAAAAAAAGACCGTTGGGCGTTAGTTTCTTTACATTCGAATTGTCCAAAGTGCGCTGGAGCGCATTACGAAAATCCACTTACTCGTAATTTGATAGAGGATAAAATTTGGCGTATGCCTGCAAGGCGTTTTTTTGTGCAACAATCGAAATGCATTCCTATTTGTTTTAATTATTGTATTCGCTTCAAGTACTTATTGTTGATTATTGTTTGTGTATCCACGCGTACTTTTATGCCAGCTGTTGACAGGAGTTGTTGATTAATGCGCCTCCGGCCTGGCTTAGCTCTGGCATGTGTACAAAATTTTTGATTCTGACAGTGTATGTTCATGTGTTTTCATAGGGTAAATCTGTCTAAATTCAACTCTAAGTTGGCTTCTTTAATGCTACCGATATTGAATTCAAATTATTTTTTTGTGGTTTATAACAATATTGTATAGAGTCGCTAAATATTAAACTGATACAGTCGTCTGCATACTTTTCCAATAAATTATATAGAAAGTCAAACCGTGCTTTCATATAAAATGAACTTTCTAATAACTTAAGAATCTACCACCCATATGTTCGTCATGATAACTCTTTTAAATATATCGTTCCTTATACATTTAAGTTTAAATATAATTAATAAGTCATCAAGTCTCTTAACACTGCAAGCGATTTGCCGCCAGGTTAGCCAGTTAACTGGACTATATTACTAATTGTTGAGTTCGCTAATATACTATCTTTCAGATATTCATTTCTGACTCTCAGTTGTGTTTTATTTCTGACTCTTAACCCATGTTTATAGTATATGGTCAAAAAGTAACGAGAATTTCTAAATTTCGCGCACTGCATCTGTTCTTCGACTCCAGTCCTATTACTATTATATTTTATTGCACTGCCAGTAACTTATATATTATTCATCAAACAGCTGTGATACTGTTTGTTCAGTGATTTTTGTGGAAAAATGTTTGTTCGGAATTCTGATTATCCAGACAAGGGATATTAGTGAACTTCATTATTCAGAGCAACTTATTTTTCTTTAACTATTATTCTTTAAAACAACTTTGGTAAAATTTTTTATTCTAACCAACTTATTCTACTTCACTATAAGTAGCATACTTCTTTATAGATTATATAAACGTAAAGTTAGTAACTGACTTACTGTTAGTATATATCAAACTGAAAACAATGGTGATATAAGTGTACACTATCTAAGAGGAACTACTTTCAAAAAGATTCAATAAGCGTGAAATATATAATAAATGGCTATTGAAAAAATTAAGAGTGAAATAAATATTACCACTTCATTACACGTCACAGGTTCTAAATACTGTAACTTCAGTATCAAAATTCAAACTTATTTAACAAATCAAGGTTTATTAAAAAAATTTTTATATATGCATCTATTGGGATTTTAGAATAATTTAAACTGATACCCAAATATTTAAAATCCTTATCATAATGCACTATTTCGAAGAGGTTAAGTAGTTGCAGCTTATATGGTTGAAATATTTGAAAAAATCAATGATGGGCGCAAAAGTTTTCAAACAGTTCTCATTTGTCCTGCTGTGAGTACATTATCACAAATAAAACTTACTTCTTCAATATTCAAAAGTTCAATCGATCTTACATTGTTTAGTGTAAGTGAAGTCTACTAATAGATGCTGATATAACTCTCTAGGTGTTGGTTACTTATTCTATATTGACTAAAAGTTTTTCTTGTAAGTGTCACTACATCATCACTAGATCAATCACTTGCGCTCGAAATATTATATTACATTATTTCTTGATACGTAATGCCTTTGGACTGTTGTATCACAAACATTTGGGCGCTATTTCTAAGGACTATGAAAATAAACATTTTATATGGTTTACAAAATTGATAAAAATTAAGTTTCTATTTAGTACAACTAGGTACAATGACTTGTATAGACTTGTACACTATACACTTGTGACATATTTGCTTCCGATCTTTCAGTTAAGACTGCTACGCTAGAAACCATGATAAAATCCACTATATTAAATAGACTGATCATAGACAATATTGTTTTGTTAACATATGGCAGAATAATTTTACAAAACAACAATTTGAAAGAACATTCCGGCACAATAAATCTACCGTCTGTTTAATTATTTTGGATTGTAAACTCAAATGCCTCACAATTCCGAAACAGTACTTAGAGATGATTCGATATACTTCAGTACAATTTTGACATTTATTTATTATTGCAAATAAATCATTGATCTTTTATAATGTACAAGATATTAAAGAATTGTTTAAACCAAGGCTCCGAACCGGAATTTCTCCTATTTCGGTTTTCGTTCTTGTTCAAAACAAAAAAAAATATATCGGTTCGGTTTCGGTTTTCGCTCCAACAAAAATATCGGGTTTTTTTTAGATTTTAGGTTTTCGGTACGGTTACGGTTCCGGTTCCGGTTCGAAGACCGTCTTTTTTCTTTTTCTTGCAAACAAAATATTTACCTATTAAAACAATACCTAGATGCACGCGAATATAAACTCTATGGCAATATTTAGTAAATTTTTTTATATAAATTTTTTCCGTCGGTGAATGCGGAGAATTTACCAGATTTACTCCTTGGTGCAATAATGAATACAATCATTATACCCACGTTAGTTTGGGTTTTAACCACAGCCACCAGGACATTTCTATTAAAGAGGACGACCTCAATTAATCAATACGACGACGTTAAAGGCCTTGACCTCCGTGGTGCCAGATTTATACCTATGGTCGAGTGACGCAAGTGACTCAAGTTGGTGGCGCCGACTGAGTTTTTATCACCCCTTACGAAAGGTATCCCTTACTTTCATACCTTGAAAATAATCTAACCCCTTACCGGTGGGGGTAAACTATAGCTAAAGTAAAATACAATTGAATTTAGCAGGGTTATCGACTCCCAGTGCTAGCAATTGATTCGAAATGAATGGAAGTAAGATAATCTATCGAATCTACGCAGAAAAGATTCGTTCGTAAGGCAAATAGTAGGTGAAATTGCTAGAGAAAAAATTAAAATAATATTAGTTATTGAGAAGAGTTAGAAATCCTTTTTCAAAACTTAAACTGGCGAGCTTCAATAATAGGACCAAAAAATACTGTCGTTAAAAAACTATATGGACAACAAATGCGAAATATTTGTTCTTTAATTCAGTTCTCTGATATTTCTATTTAATTGTATTTAAATATATCTTAAAACAGCTAGTGAGATTAAGAAGAATATCTGGAAATTGAAATTTGAGAGCAATTTTACCTTTACTTCAGTGCCTTAAAAAAGTAAGTCATCTCTAAGTTTTTTAACACTAATGACATTTTAAGTTAGTCAATTTTTTAATTTCAAGTTTTGATACAAGCAAATTGTAATTATTTAAGCAATCAAAATTCTTTTCAGCACCACAAAAAGTATTGATTTACTCTAATTAATGTCATTCCAAACCTAAATTTATGTCATCCCTCAGTTTTCTAACATTAAGGACTATATGTCAATTTCTTGACTCATAGTTTTGCGACAAAAAAGGCACAGTAATTATTTAAGCAAAAAAAATTTTTTTCGAACCATATAATCTAGTATTTCGAGCGAAGTAGTTCGAGTAAGTAACTATATTAACTATATTCTATTAAGCATTTCTTCGTGTCTACCACTATTCTTATATATTTGAAACTATACACATGTATCAGCTATAAGCTACAATTTTTATATTCTAATATATCAGACAGGAAAAGGCAATTATTCTTTGAGATGACCTCAACACCTTGTAAACAGTATCCAAAAAGAGTAATAATATTATCATCCTCTTCTATATTGTAACATCTCTAATGCGAATATCAATTAAGTAAACTTCAACGCATTTACATATTATTACACCCAAACCAAAATTAAGCTGATATGCGAAGTTTTTTGGACGAAATTCATCCGCACTCAACATCATCAACAACATCACCAACTTCAGGTATAAAACAAAACCACAAAATGAAGTGGCAACAGAACAATTTGAACCCATTTTCGGATTTGAGTGCACACATGCTCTCACACTCACATGCGGACCAATATATCCACAAAATATCAAACCCCAAAAAATGCCAGGACATTCTAAATAAATATAAAAACAACTTCAAAACCAACAACAAAGTCAACAAAACAACACCAACAATAGCCCACCACAATATTAAGCCGAAAAAGAGACAAAACGTTTAAATAAAACAAAACATGATTATGTATATGCTCCTTTCAGTCCTTTCAGTCCTTTTGGTCCTTTTGGTCCTTTGCTCCTTTTGCTCCTTTTGCTGGCGGTAATTGTAATACGAAAAGATTCAATGTAAATTTTGTGGTCATTTAATGTGGTTAGCATGGATTTGTGCTCAACGCACAGTTCGGTTAACTCTATTGGGGGTAAAATGTGCAAAATAGTTTGGGTTTTGTAGATGAAAGTATATTGCATCTTGTCAAAATTTACCACAATAAAGTACATTTGCGAACTTACTAGCAAATTTCAATATGTTCAAGTGAATTTGTACTCTTACCCCTTTCCTCTTCGACCAAGTAACGATTTAAAAACTTTGCGGTCATATCGTTGTGGAGAGACATCTCACATATGATGTTAACAATTACACTCTACTTCTGGCATTCAACGTAATCTGTTGCAAGGTACCTTTCTTTTTAGTGAATAGTTTTTTGAAGTTATTGACTCTCTAACACTATTTTCTTATTCAGTCACGTATTTAGTGAGTAGAAAGGGAGATCAGTGAGTTATATTTTTGGTTTTATACAAATTTGAACTTTAATATTAATATTACCAATTCTCAAACAGCTGCTAATGAATCCGTTAGCTAACACTATATTCCTATTGAGTGACGTATTTAG